GGTTGGGATGGTCCAAAAACAGAATAAGACCTGGCAGGCATCCTTGATCCTGAACAATGGCCCGTCTGTTCAATGGATCAGCTGCTAGATCTCGGAGTTGGTTAACCACAGACAGTGCATCAGGCTCCTCACTCATAGCAGAATTCATCTTTTCTGCACCATTCATACAAAATACCTGCTGAAAAGAACATTTATTACTACTATCAAAACATTTATCATCAATTAAAACAGAGACAAAAAAAGCACAACAGCAATGATTTGCTCTAAACCAAAAGGTGTAAAAACCCCAAGGATTAGAATTCATGGAAGGTGGATGGAATTAGTAAGGATGTGGGTCCTGAAATTTATAAACTGGAAATCTAAACTTCCTATGCAGAGAACAGACATATTTGGATAATAAGGTTTTTATTTGTTTCCTATATGTCATTTCACACCAGTCAATCTTTATGGGAGTACTGTGTGCTGGTTTTTTTCTCCCTACACTAGTGAAAAACGTTTTCCATAAATCCAGTCTTCTCACAAGGCACCCTAGAAGTATATAAACATCCTTCTGTGCAAAAGTGCAAAAACCAAAGTATTTTCAGAGTAGCTTTAGCAATCAAAAACTGAACCACAAAAGTCCACAAAATATTAACAGTGCATCAAGAACAGTGAACATTAAGCTTTATTCTTCATCCAAATATCAAATAACTAGTGCAATGCCATACACTCAAAGGCAGAAAGGGCTTTAGAGGCTGGGTTTGAGTTGTTTTTTCTCCTTTTCACAAGTATCCCTCGATAAAGAGAGAGCAAGCAGGTCATGCCTTGCTCCAGCCGAAGTCCAAGCCACCAGATCAATTTCAAAGGAGACACGTGTTAGTGTGAGAGTATCAGATTGCAGAGCTGTTTAATAATAACTACTTAACAGGCAACAAAAGCTTAAGTTTGCTCGGAGAAAATGCTAAAATCTTGGTGTAAAAGAAAGTTTCTTTGTGCCTCAGAAACTACTAAATGCTAACCATAGTCCTGGTTGTTGCCAGTACCAATTCAGCCAAGTAACTTAAGGCACAAAAGTGGGAGTGAATGCATATTGTTAATTTGTTATATCACTCATTTTCCCCCAAATAAAGAACAAATACAATTTTTAAGCAATCACATTCTTTTAGCATCATTTGCCAACATTAAATAGTTTTTCTTCATTGAAGGTTGGCCTCTGAGCAACATAAGTTTATCATACTTATCAAAAACAATGAACCATAAACATGCATTTAGATTATGATAATTTCTGAAATTTTCACAAAGAAAAAAATGCTGTTAACCTCTAAGTCAATGTTTCTTACTTCAGGAGAGTGCTAAAGTGAAAAGTACAGGCCAATGATTAGTGTCCAGACTATTTCTCTGGACTATCAGAAATCAAAAATGTATCAACTGGGAGATTCAGTAGCTCAACCAATACAAGTTTGTGTTTCCAAAGGAAAAAACTCAGATATAAAAAAAAAACCAAAACAAAACCTCAGGAAACAAAACCACCACACAAACAAAGCCAAAGCAGCTCTGTTCAGTATTATTAACTATTTTCCACAGTACACAAAGGAGCTTATAATAAGTCTTAAAAATTGAGTCAGGGTGGAGCTGATGCTAATCAAAGTCTCTCATTTCCAGGTCTGTGTCCCAAGCACCATATAATTCCTATAACTCTTTGCATCCTGATCACCTTTTGCCTTTTTCCTTCTAATCCTCTGAAAAAAACACTCCCAAAAAACCAAGTTTTACCCCCACCTATTCCATTAGGCTGCAGTCCTCATCTGAAATGAGCTACAAGACAAGGACATTTTATAAAGGCATATAGTGACAGGACAAGGGGCGATGTTTTTAACTTGAAAGGGGGCGGGTTTGAATTAGATATTGGAAGAAGTTGCTGTAAGGGTGGTGATGCACTGGAACAGGCTGCCAAGAGAAGTTGTGAATGCCCCGTCCCTAGAAGTGCTCAAGGCCAGCCTGGATGGAGCTCTAAGCAAGCTGGTCTAGAGGAAGGTGTCTCTGCTCCGGGTACGGGTGTTAGAACTTGATGATCTTCAAGGTCCCTTTCCAACCCAAACCATTACGTGATTCTGTTATCCCCAGACCCTTTTCCATCTCTCCTAAGCCTCAACTCGGGAGACAGCTCTGAAATCCTCACCCTTCTCCATGACCTGCAACAATCAGTTCCAGGAAAACTCACACCCCCGCCCTCTTCCCGGAGCTTTTTAATTTAAAAAATTAGGCGGTCTTAAAAGTTACAATATCTATAGTTCAGGAGTCCGGCAGAGCAGCGAGCCAGGTGCCTGCTCCTGTCTCCTCTCCGTAGCTTTGAGATCAAAGCCTGACGCAGGCACCACAGCCCTGTCTCTCCGCCGCTGTTCCCTCCGCTTTGTGCTCTCGCCGGGGCGGCCCTGCACAGGAATCTCCACGGCTCCGCTGCCAGCCCTCCCCAGGCGGCCGAGGCCTCAGCCCGGCTGGGACCAGGCCCCGGGACTCAGCTCCCCAGGCCCCGCGCTCGGCGGACTCAGCCCCGCAGCCGCCGGGCAGCAGAGCTCCGGGGTGCACCGGGAAGCAGGGGGGATCTCGGCCGCACACGCCGCCCCCTCACGGCCCTTCCCGGCGCGGCCTGTTCCCCTCCCCGGCAGGGCCGTACCGTCGCAGAAGCCGTCCCTGGGAGGACTCGCAGCTCAGCTCCGCGCCCCCATGTCCCGCGGGGCGGGGCAGCGCGGCCTGCGGAGAGCGGCGGGAGGAGCACGGGAAGAGGCTCGGGAAGAACCGCGGGCTGAGCGCCGGAACGAGAGCGCCTGCACCACCCACGGAGCCCGCTCTGACCCGGCACGGCGCTACACCGCGCGGCGCGATTGGCGCGTACCGAGCGCGGCCTTCCGCCAATCGAGTTCTTTGTTTCTGGGAGGGGCGCGGTGCAGGCCGGGAGGTGTAGTCCGAGGGCTGTAGTCCAGAAGCACGCCCCTCGCGCAGCTCCATTTGGATTTTTTTTTTTCTCCAAAGACGGCTACCACCAGAAGTTGGATTTACTGCTCAAATAAAGTGTAGCGTGTACTGTAAAACAATCTAGTGTGAACCACAGCTGATGCTGTATGGACAGAGAGTGCCCATCTCCTGGTTTGAAACCCGAAGTGGGTATTCCCCACCCCATGAGACACCGAAATTAAATTTGGTTTAATAGAATCAAGACACAGTTAAGGCTGAAAAAACCCTCTAACAACACCAGGTTCAGCAAATTGATCCTTTACGATGGTTTGAATCCCTATAAAGGCAAAGGTTTTCTGCTTTCACATAACCTTCGCACTTTATTTTAAAATGCTTGAGTAAAGGTCTCAGTAGTTTCTAAAGCTGAAAACACCCGCTAAGTAATGTTTAAATCAATTCAGCACGAAGAAACTTTGAATTCCCCTTTATCACACTTCTGCCCGACAGCGATCGCGACTTCCCGCCCGGCCCTCCTTTCCACAAGGATTGAATGGGACGCAGCCCCGGAGCCCCGGCGGGGCCGCAGCCGCGGGCCGCCCCTCAGGGAGCCGCGGGCCGCCAGCCGCCCTCAGGGAGCCGCGGGCCGCCCCTCAGGGAGCCGCGAGGAGCCCAGGAGCAGCCCCGCCACCGCCGCACTGTTATAAATGACAAGCTTGACTAGGCCAATATTCAAGCAGCAATCAATCTGGTAATTAATATGATGAAGTACGAGCAATACAGCGCTGGGTACAGCGGGGGAAGCTTTCCCTCCAACTGCACGGCGATAGTTGAGGCTTACAGGTATTTACAGGGGTACTCGTAAGCTTTCTCAGCAGTTTCTATTCCCACTTTTACGTCACAATTCTATGCATTATTGTGATTTAGTTTTTCTCAGGATGTATCCCAGAAAGGAGCATCCCCAGATGGTGGGGGTCTGGCTTCCAAAAGAAGAAAGAAGTCTCCCAGCTGGTGAGGTCCAGATTCCAGATGTGGGTCCACCTTTTAATTGCAAGCACTATAAATCTCATAACCGTGATGTCCAGCTTCCCTTGGTGGAAACTATCAATCCTTGAGTTGATGTTCATCTTCCTTTCTCAAGCTGCTTTTCACTGTTTTTTGTTAAGGCGTTGAGATAAGCATGTTTCCTTTTTATATATTCTAAAGCTACAGTGTCAAAGATCCTTACTACAATATTCTAAAATTATACTTCAAAAGGTTATTATTGCAAAACTCTTTAAGGCTTGGTTACAAGCAGAAAGTTCCTGACAAACAGAAACATCCTTAAATCTTTAATTCAAATGCTCCTAAATCAACTTAAGACTCAGAAAGGTTAATTGCGAACAAAGGATAGGTTCAAAGGCCTTCTTCCATGCTTTACTTCCTCAGTTATTAGAATTCGTCTTTATAACTGTCCCATGGTGGGTTTCCACAGGTGTCACAGATACAGACGTTGCCTGTGTGTACCTGACACGAAGCAGAGCGGCGGAATCAGCGAGGCCGGAAAGGCCCTCGGAGGCCATCGAGCCCGGCCCGCGGCCGAGCAGCCCCTGACACCTACACCGGGGCACTGCGCGCCACATCCAGCCTTTGCTGAACGCCTCTGGGACGGTGACTCCACCGCCTCCCAGGGCAGCCCACTGCAAAGCTTTACCGCCCGCTTTGTTAACAAACCCCAACTGAGGTCCAACCTCTCCCGGCACAGCCCGCAGCCGTGCCCTTTATCCCAGCGGGCTGACACGGACCCCCACAATGCCGCGGCGGCGACACCCAACCCACCGAACCGCCCATCCCGGCGGCGCTCTCGGCGCCCGCCCCTATTGGCGGGTCCCGCCCACGTGACGGCGAGGGGGGCGGGGCGGGGCGGCTCCCCCGCCCGCTGCCGGCTCGGCGCCTGCCGGGTAGCGCCTCACCCCCGCAG